CTCGGCGTGGCGCGGTGGGCCCCGCCCCATGTTTGGTGCGGGGTTTTTTTTTTTTTCCCCTCTTTTCTTTAAGTCCTCACCATCAAATCCCAGCAAATTTCACTTTTTAAAAAAATTTTTTTATATATTTTTTTTTTTAATTTTACAGTTCTCTTGGAAAACAAAAGATTTCGCCCATTTCGCAGCGGAGGAGCCGAGCAAGGCTGGGAAATTCTTCCAGTGCCACAAGTTTGAAAATCCCAACCCAAAACGCATCCATCATCCATCACCTTGGGCGAGCTGCTGGATAATTGTTTAACCATTTCTTTTACCAAAAAAAACAAAAGATTTCGCCCATTTCGCAGCGGAGGAGCCGAGCAAGGCTGGGAAATTCTTCTGCCACAAGTAGTTTGAAAATCCCAACCCAAAACGCCTCAGCCATCCATCACCTTGGGCGAGCTGCTGGATAATTGTTTAACCATTTCTTTTAAAAAACCCAAAAAAAACCAAAAACCCCACCTTGCTCGCAGAGGAAGTTTTCTTTTTTTAGGAAAAAAAAAAAAAAGAAATTAAATGTTGATCCTCAAAACCGCCTCTCACCTCGCTGGGGACGTATCTAAAGCCAAATCACCAACATCTCTAATTTCACATGCACGTATTTGGGTATAATTTTTTTGCCTCCTTTATCTTACGTTAATTTTTTTCCCCCCAACAGAAATTTAAAAAAAATAAAAAAAAAAGAAATTAAAACACTGTATTACCTTTGCTTTTTAGGTACTGAATGTTCAATCTCTAGCTGTTTTCCATGAAGCTCCACTTTCCCTAAAAACAAAATGTGTCTGTTTTTTAAAATCTGGGTGGAGTGGTCAGAAAGCTTTGGATAACATGCTATCACGTGAAACCTCGCAATTTAATTCAAATTACGACGAACTACGCACAAATACATTTTCCAATTCCTTTACAAGTGCATTTTATTAAATATAAGACTGGCTTCAAATGGGAAGCGGTGGGAGGGAGTGGTGAGTTAGCTGTCTGGACAATGTTCCTTAGGAATATTTAATTCCTTAGTTCATCCTGCTTTGAGTGAAAGAAAATGAGGAATAATATTTTGAGACCAATTCTGTGCCTTTATTTAATTCCGCCTTGTTTAATCCCCGCACGAAGTCCTTCGGGCGGATTTCTTCCCCCCCATTAAAAGGCTCAAAAATTGTAACTCCATGGCAGAAATGGATTTCTCTTTGAAAATGGAGTGGGTTTCTTTGCTGCTGGGTTATTATGAGGATTTTTTTTTGGAGAGGGGAGAAGAGGGGAAGAGCCCGGCGGGAGGCGGGGGGAGCCCGGGCCGGGGG